TTTGAGGGACAAGTGTTTACAGCTTTACATGGTTATGTCTTGATCCAGAGGACTTTTACTTCCAGTAAAAACAAGATGAGCAGAGAATTATTAGCTGTATTTATAGTACCACCTGAAGGACCATGAGATTGTAAACCTGATTTTACTTAGTTTAAAATACACGAATGAATAATGATATAGAGAGATTTGAAAAGAATCCCAGACGCTGGCTGGAAGAGGAAATGAGAAACCACTTTCTCCTTGTGTCAGAGTCAACTTTTTAGTAAATATCCGACTATTAATGTCAGAATTGAACTTTTTATTAAATATCCAACTATTACTACATACACTGTCATATACTATATACTGCCATATAATTCCTGCTCGATTCAGACTAAGAAAAAATGAATGTTAATCACTCACCTGGCCACACTCAGAGAGAGCAATTCAGTGCAGGGATGTTGTGAGGCTGTCAAAGCCCTTTCAAGTACCAGCAAATTGAGAAATAAGGTGCCCAGGGGGGGAGTCATGACATTGTGAAGCTGCAGCCCTGGGGCATTTTGGATCAATGTACAGCAGAGCTGCTCAAAGCACTTAATGAAACAATTACAGCCCTCCCGCTGATTGCCTTTGTTTTCCCCCCACGAATCAATAGATCATCCACTGTAAATGTCACTGTGTTCCTTCTCTCCTAGGTCACTCTGCAAGGCAGTGATGAACAACACGCAGGGCTTGGCTAAATGTGCTCTGGAACCACAGCTACAGAGAAATGTCTCGATTTCTAAGGACTCTGAAGAAATGGAAGATGCTCAGGTGTGCAAAAAGGAAAAACTGAGGACACAACAACAACAAAGAAACACAAAGGAAATGTGAATGGAAAAGCAGCTGTTAAAAAGCATCAAAATCTTCAGGCATTCCTCTCTGCAAATGGGAGATCTATTCTGACAATTCCCCTTTGGACTGAGTGGGGTTTATGTTAGGAGAGTTCTGTCTTTTCAGGAATGCCCATTTTTAATTTTAGCAAGTCTCATTTTTCTATTTAGTTCTTCTGCTTTTCCCCAGTGTGAGAACAGTAACTATTTTTATTTTACAATACGAGGCAATAAATGAAAAGTACAGGTTTAATGTATTAAAAGCTGACCAAAAGAAGACCAACAGAAGCTCATAATAGAGCACTGGGTTCCTAGAGTATCTCCATGCACGAATTAGAGGAGGTTTGAGAGGATCACCTGAAGCAGGTGTTGATTTGAGGTGAAGGGTGACAATAAGGACACAGGGAGTTGCTGGATGGGGCTTTGAGCAACCTGGTCTGATGGCAGGTGTCCCTTCCCAGGAAAAGGAGTTATTCCTCCCTTTACTACAGACATCTTAGTATGGAGCACAAGACATCTGGGATTTTATGGACTACAAAAATTTCAGGGCTGAGAACAATCTCCCCTTCAGGACACACAGCAGCAGCTGTTGCAGCAAACCCTCCCCAAGTTTCTGGACATTCTGCAATAATGAATTTGTATGAAAAATAATAAATATTTTAAAATTGGGAACCTTGTTTTTTTTTCCAACTGATCTGTTCTTGCTTTCATCTTGAGCAACAGAAACCAATATATTCACAATGCAAACAGGCTGCAATGCCCTTGGCGATAAAGTGTTGCAGTCTCCCGACCTCTTAGTTATTAGAAACCTCATTTCAACATCATTTTAGGCCCTGCATAGGTGAGGAAGAAATCCTGACAGAAAAATAAGGTTTAAGAATGAAAGAGGGATAAGGAGAAAGCAGAAAAAATGATGCACGTTTGACTTTTTTTAGCTTTCTGTGGATTATAATTGCAGTAATACACTGGTAGGATGACATATCTAATAAATCCAGTGTTGTGAAATCTACACTGTTTGCCTCGAAACAGCTTTTAATCCTGATTTTTAACAAATCTGTGCTTCATTCAACTAACACAGCACAGAGTATTGTCAACCTAATCCTACCCCAACAATATTTTTTCCTTAATATATCACAATTAAGAGCAGAGTAAAAAATTAAACTCAGAATGAGACGTTAATAGAAGAGACCCAGAAAATCTGGATGCTCAGACAAGAAGTAACATTAGTGCTGCAGTGACCTGCACAGGCTGGAAATGCCATCTGGTGGCTGCAGGTTCAGAGCAGTTCAGGAGAGAAAAAATTAAGTTTGCTTGTATAGTCAGGGTTGGTTCTGCACCATATTTTACTGAATTGTGGAAGATTAAAAGCAAATGGGGTTCTGTGTTAAACAGAAAAGTCAGTTAGGGTAGTGCCAATTACTGTTTTGAAAAAGCAACATTTATTTGCTGATGTAAAACACCAAAATTGTTATTATTTTGATTACTGGAGCAGCTGGCACTGGGGCACCACACTAAAAAAGTGGATCAATGGGACAATACTTAAGAAAGCTCAGTAAAATACCTTAAAACACGACTTTAAGGAAAGGTAATTGGGATTGGTGAGTTCAGAGAAAATGCAGCAGGGTGACTCGGCAACAACCTCCACAAAGGTCTGGTGCTGTAGCAAAGAGGAACCTCAGTGATGCCTCCTCATATTCGGGGAGGAGAAACCAAACCAGGGCCAAACAAAAGGACTGAAGATGCTGAGTGTAAACACTTGCAGTATTTCAACACCTCCTGCACAAAATCAGTCCATCAGAGATGAAGGTGGGTGTGTTCTTGCTCTGCTCCAGCTCGGAGGAGACAAGGGAGAAACAGCAAACAGTTTTTGAAACTCCCACCAGGCCTATGCTTTTCTGCTCCCCTGTAGACAACAAGTGAGAATTCCAACAGAATTCATGTGATTTCATTCCTTAACTCGAGCTTTTTGCCACCAGGGCAGTACACTGCCCTTAATTTATTTTTGTATTCTACAGTGCCCCGTTGATTCCTCCCGGACGACGACAATCAGATGTCACAGACAAAGGGAAACGAATGAAATCCGACACATTTATTTGAAAGCCTGCAGCAGACTAAATTCTAAATAAATCCTGCTTTTTCTGCAGCACAAAGGTTGCAGACTGACTGTCCCCGTGGACTCTGCTCTCTTCTCGCTGCTTAACAGACTTTCCAACACTTTCTTTTGTCCTGATAGCAATCTCTCAGCAGGACTTTTGGCAGACACACGTACTATGTGTTAAAACTGAAGTGGAAATAACTGATGGGAAGCACAAAAATCTGATGGGAATAGTTATAATAAGGAAATGAATAAACATCAAAACACTAAAACACAACCATGGAGAGTGGAGCCAGAAAGCTTCTGAGCTGCTACTTGTCTGAGATGATCAGTAAGAGCCACTGCTTTCAGAGGTCTGTTTTGTATTAATACAGATAGCATTAATACATGCAGTACTTTGGTTTGTATGTTAATTTAATCCATTTACATTCCTATTTAATAGTTAGAAAACAAAGCTCTACAAAGCTCTCAGGAGATGAGCTTTGAATGTGCTATAAAATGCCCATAGTAGATTAAATTTATAGAATACTGTTAATTTAGGAATCCACTAACCACAACCAACACCTGGACACTAAATTAAGTGTGAGTTGCTGTTGTCCATCAGCTCCTGTAAATGCCTTTTGGCTTATTCAACATATTTTAACACCACCCATTGTCTTTGCACTCGAACAGTTCTGTTGCCAACAGTTCTGTTTAGTAAGTGCTTGTGTACTCAGAGACTTAGTCACTGTGCTTTTCACCAAAACCTCACCCAAAATAAGCTTTTTGTACCCCACCTGGTTGGTACACTCAGCGGGTTAACAGCTGTGGCTAACACAGATGGGTAACACCGTGTATAAATGGTGTTATTTATGATATTTGCTTTCCACAGTGCACCTTTATTTACCCAGGGAGACTAATCTGCCTCATAACTGAAGGCTATTTACCTGTTAATTCTCCTCTGACCAGCAGCCACCTCCAGTGCCTCCCTCTGTCACTCAGGGTCATCACCAGCCCTTCCTCAGGCGATGCAGAATCCTAATGGAGGAACATGGATCGCTGCCCTGGCCTCCTAAGGACACTCAGGGCTTGGAAACCCTCCAAAACCTTGCCTTCACTTAAACCCAAATCACCTGGCAAGTGGAAACACAATCTGGCTTTTTTATTCTTCATACTCAGTACGTGAGATTACATGCAAGGGGCTCTGAAGGTGCTGGTTTATAAACACATTGGGTAAAAGATGTGGCTACAACGCTCCAGGAAACGCTGATTTTCCTGAAAAGTGGTGGAGATTTCTTCCAAAGGCAAATTCTTCCTGTAGCAGGGCTGGGACACAGAACAAGCAGGAAGAGCCACGAAGGCTTGAGGGGGACAGTGGAGATGGAGAGGCTGAGAAGAAGAGCACATAACACATGTCTGGAGGATTACCTGGGACAACCAGGATGAGAAGGAATTCAGAGATACACGGCTGATCAGGCTGGAGCTTCGGGAAGGTCACCTGTAAAGATATTCACAGAGCTTCAAAAAGATGGGTGGATGTAGATTCCAAAGGAGAAATGCAACAGGAAAGGTCTCACCAATATTTTGAGCAACGGGCCTTGAGAAAAATCTCCTTCAGGAACCCAGAATTACCCAGAATTCTGCCTCATTCAGTGTTTGGTTATTTTTGTGCACATAATCCATATATTTGTGTTGTTGGTTTGGCTCCTTTGCTCAGAGACAGGATTTTGTTCAACCCACTGGAAGGGCTATAGCCTAACTCAAATAAATAGCTAGTCCTATTTAGTCTCCATTTGTGAAAAGCCCCTTCATTTTATTTTGTTTTACTCAGACAAGAAGTATAAATTATATTTCAAGCATAATCTCTTCATTAATCTGTCTAGGTAGAACAAAAAATTAGTTCCAAAATGCGGTCATGTGTTTTGAGCATGATTTTGAACACTGATTTTCAAGGTATCCCTTCTAATCACTCTCTGATGGACTCTTTGATTCTGTTGTTCACTGGACACTTGGTCAACCTCCAGGGTGATGAATTTCCAACAAACGATTACAGAAGTCACACTCAGAGCTGTTGCTTCTTGTAATAATTCACAGAGACTGGAAATAACTTTATTTTCTACACTTGCAAGTCAAACAGGCCTTGCTGAAAAGCAATTCCAAACTCAACATGCGGGTTCTTTTGCATTTACCGAAATGTGTTGCTGCTGGAAATGAGCAAGCTCCCCACTTATTTCCAATTAAAACAAAAAATGGTCTTTTTTTAAACACTGGTCACAACTCTGCATTTTCTTACCACCATTTAATGCTCATTTATCAACAGAAGATAGAACAAGGCAACCTTACGTTGGGGATTAATTCTCACCGACTAGCTACACCAAAAAACCTCCTACAAAATAGTCTGTACTAAATTAAATATCTCTAAATTCAATAACTGTCAATGACAACGTCCTAAATGAAACTGTAATTTTCAGCTCCGCTGAAGTCACTGGCAAAATTTACAGAACTTCATCCTCAACCTCCATCCCCCTCCTAGAACAGGGACAGAGGTATCAGTCCTTAAAAACACTGCACCAGTTTCCTTCTAAAACAACACCAAAGTGAGTCAGATCTCAGCAAGCTACAGGCGGACTCAATGTTTGAGTTAATCTCAACGTTGACTTTTTTTTTTAAAATATAAATACATCTTAGGGCTGTGGGAGAGGCAGAAGCTCAGTTTGCCGTGGTGCTGCAGTTCCAGAGGAGTCACAAAAGGGAAAGCACCATTTCAGGATTCACAGAAAAATGCTCGTTTGCCTCGAGTGGTCACACCAAGGGCAACTCCTCAAGCTGCACTCAATTTTCAGTTTTATACTTGTCTAGCTCACTTTTCTTCAGCTGCAGTCCTTAAAAGCTCCCCAGGAGAAAGGGAGCATCAGATAAAAGTCTAATACAAGGCATATCAGTAACAAATACGGGCACAAAACGATGGAGCTCTCCAAGAGCTCTCGGCGGGGACATTAAGTTCTGCTCCCTCGAAATTTAACAGAAACTTCTGCAGGAGCTCAGTGAGGCCATCATTACATGGTTTGGATAATCTTTAAGAGTTTGCAAGTCCTACTGGAATTTCTCAGTGCCTCTTAAGCAATTTTGTATCATCTAAAAAGGTTTTCTCACTTATTTTTCTTGCAGGCCATGTGGGCATCACCGCTTTTCAGCACACGGTGTAGGCAGAAAATGTTACACTTTTTGACAAGTCACTGAGTGGCAGGAGGATTTTTCTCCACAGAAAGGAATTCTTCATAATAATCTTCATCAGTAATAGGTTTAGGTAAGACAGGGACAAACTGGATGGTACAGAAACTTCTCAGTACCAGGCAACAGATAAACACATACCAGATATGATGCTGGGAGGAATGACCAGTTTTGTTGCAGACAGGCAGTAGATCAATACAATACACTCCAATTAATAAAAAATAAAATTCCTTTTTAAAGTTACTGTAGAAGCTGTACTCCATATCAATAATATTACAGTGATCAAACAGATATGGGGGGAAAAAGTTAAATCTGCAATGCACTTGATTCCCCAGATTCTTATGTCTCTTCCATGTAAAATTTAATGATTAATAAAATTGCCTAAGTGTTTAAAATTCAATCAAGGCCATGAATGAGAGGAGATGTAACCCTCAGAGAGTAAAACTGAATTTGGTTCCTTTCTGGGGAAAACCACCCACACATCCCTCAATAAGAATCTTTGTTCAAAGGTTAACAGGAAACTTCAGGTTGATTTAAGGTAAATACCAGCTCCTGTTATCCCAGAAGATAAGGAACACAAATGCATTGGTTTCGTTACCATGTGGTAATACATTACTGAATTATACAACAGTGTTATTTCCCCAAATTCCTACAACCTGTATGACTTGATAGGGACACAGACAACGTTCTGTATGAGATAATAAAGTGCTTTCATAAAGGATCACAACTTCCTGTGTTTACAACAGAAGTATTTGCTAAAATGTTATTAAAGATTTTAACTCATGAGCTGCTGCACCTTAAACAAAACAGTCAGTAAAAATGCAGGAACAGGATATTTAAGACTTCCCATACAGTTCTGCAGAAAAAAAAAAATTGCAACAAAACCCAGCAGTGGTACCTCATGTCTTTTTGTGGTTTTTTTTAGCATAGTTCTGAAATGTGCACTGAGAGCTACAGGATAAACCTCCCAAGCTCTATTTCATATCAGTGATGTGCATTAAAATACCCACTCTCTTTAGACGAAGGATAAGGCTTATACCAAAAAACACTGTGCCACTTGGCTGCATATCTTTGGTATATTTATAGTGCAACTGTTCTGCTTCTTCTCTGAAGGGGAAGGTTTCCCAAAGCACTGCACCCCCTTCCACTGAGAACCTACCACGAACTCCTACACTCACTAGGACCTCAGACACCAACCTACTGCTTTGAACAAATGGAGAATGTGCAGTGAAAATAATTTCTTCCTGTTTTTTTTTTTTAAGAACATATTACTGAAATGAAATTAAACCATGCCATGTTTCACATTAGAAAGTAACAGCATGTTCCAATTCTCTTGCAAGATTTTAGGAGCATACAAATGCGAGCGTAAATTTCACGGCAATTTTTAACGACAGATAGCCAAGGTGCTACTTGAAAACATTTGTAATTTAATTCCTGCTAATCTAGATTTAGTCAACCTCTGCCTCTACAATAAAAAAAAAAAAAAAAAAAAGGAAAAAAGACACCTGTTGTTTCATTTTGCTTAGATACTTAGAATTATTCATAATGCATAGAAAGGCTAGAACTACTTAATTAAAATATATTGCAAGCATGTTTTTCTAAACTTATATTGCTAAAGCCTTGCTGTATTGTAGGATTTATTGGAGTTGGCCTTTATACACAGTACCATGGACTCACATAAGCCTGGATAGATACCTGTATTTCAGGCTGCTATTTGAGTGGGCACACCAACACACAACTACAGTACGTATCACCCAGTGGCAGTGCAATAAAATGTAGCGCCATGGAAACGCCAATTTAATGATCTTCTCAACTTCTGAACAACAGCATTCTCTCTGAACAGGTCTGTCCAACCAAGCTGGCGTATTGCTGAACGTTGGCTTCGTCGCTTGGCCCCTTCCTCCTCTTCTTGTACACGCTGTAAGGCATCACGGTCCTCTTGTGAAGCACCCTCACCCTGCCCAGCTCCTTCACATGGCCTTCATCCACTGCCAAGGCAACCAGAGAGCACAGCACTTAGTTATGTCATCTTCATTTACGCCACCAGCTTCAAAATGCTTAATGAAAGTCAGGAAATTAACGGGCAGAGGAAAAGCAGAGCTGAGCTACAAGAGCAGTCTTCTTGAATCGGGGCTGAAAAACAGAACCTGTGTTTGCAGTGTGTGAATAAAAATAAACCATGAATGACACATTTCCAGAGGTGATACACTGCATTTCTGGAACACCCCCACTGCTGGCAAAGACTTGCCAAGAGAACTGACCAGAAGGGACTTGCCATTGCTTCAGCCCTTGCCAAACCCACCAGCAAAATGGGACGAGTGGATTAAAACCAGCAACCTCCAGGCTGTTTGCCTTAGGCAAGCATCAGGCAATAAACTGCCTTCCCAGGTCAAACTCCCCTGTCTCTCCAGCCCCAATCTTTTTCCCCCTCATTTGTACTGGTTGCTGGGTTTCTCTAGCACACTGAGCTTACATGCCCTTATTTCAAGTCCATCCCAAGCTCTGTGGACTGACAGAGCTGTGCAAGCACTGACTGGGTGGGTATGACACAATTCCTCTTCAAAGGAATTACTCTTCAAAGATACACACACACCATAGTGGAATCTTATTAACCTCAGATACAGACCCCTTGTGACTTAATTTATCCAGAATCAAACACATAAGAGCATCGTTGAGCAAGTTAAAACTTCCTTATTTTTAGTGATTCAATTGATGCTCCTGCTGCTAAATAATAATATTAATGTTATATACCTGCTGTGTGTCAGAAAAAATAGCTCTACAGTGCTAGAAAACTCTTCACAGAAAGTCAGAGAATATGCCACACACCTGAGGCCACTGCAGGATGAATTAATAAAATGATAACAAAATACTGGGGAAAGAAACCTTGGACTTCTCGGAGCATCAGGTTTAAAAAGTCAGCAGTGGAAGAGTCCACTTAAACACAGAATCTGAAACACGGGTTTGAGAATAGAACCATTTCAATTACAGTGGCTAATGGAGAAGAGATGCTTACTAGAATGTCAGTATTTGGGGACACAAACCGTGCAAAGACTCCCTTTTGGGCCTTCTTTGTGCTTTTAATTTATGCTTTAGGACAAAGGAGGTCATGAATGTCTTTTCAAGACATTCTGAAGAACCTGCCCTTATTTTCCACAGAAATGGCTTTTAAACTGTTTTCTACTGGTTGCCTGAATTTAGTATGTGAAACTTAATGAAGGCTGCTTTACCAAGTTCAGAATGACTTCATTACTTTTATCTGTGTTTTGATTCCTGACATGAAAGAAACAATGTGTTTCTCAAGATTTAACCAGGAAAACATGGTTTGAAGGAAGAAAATTTGAGCAGTGCTTGCTAAGATTGTGCTCTGCACTAATTACTCTTGGCAATTGCTTTAGATAAACACCAAGTCAAAAACACTTTATGGCTTTGTCTCCTGCTTTGAAACCCATTAGGTTTTTGATGTGTGGCCAACACCTTCCTGATATCCCAACAGGTTGGTTTTATCACCAGCCCTTCTGCCTCTTCTGTTACATCCCCCCCACACCTTTCCTGAAAGTTCACCAAGGAAAAATTTGCAAGTTTAGCTTCTGCAGGTGACACAAGTGCAAAGTTATTTTAACTCCTTAAATTGGAAAGTCTGTATTTACTGCACCTCCAGGCTGCCTGTAAGTTTGTGTCCTGAGCTGGATTTCGGCCAAGCCCAGCCTTCCCAGCTTCAGGCCAAAAGCACTTTCACTGCTCCCTGTTTGGTACTCATTGATCTCCACCAGTCCCAAAGCCTGATGCTCTGGATGTGAGTTCATCTTTTGGCTTGCAGTGCTCCTGGCCCCAGATTCGATTTCTTTGAGTAACCAAAGCTACTGTACCTTTGGTTTCACTGCAGCCTCCCTGGCTCAGCTCAGCTCTGTTCTCTCTGCTCAGCATTTACACCCTTTGCTCCACTTTTCCTCATCACCTCCCTCCAACCAGCCCTGCTCTGGCTCCAGCCCTGCAGCCACATGAAACTGCTGGAATGACCAAGCAAATTTGGTTCTAGGAAATTCAAGTGCTCCCTGGGGAGAAGTCAGGCTTGCCAAACCCTGCTGTAGATCAGCCCTGTCTTGGACAGGTTTCTAACACAACCCTCAGGCAGGAGAAGCCTCTCCCAGAGCAATCCAGAAAACACCAATATCTCAAAAAGAAATCACTGTAATATACTTCACACGTGTTTTAAGCCTCACACAGTAAGTTCTGTGCATAAACTACATTTAGAGAGGCTCAGTGATGAGTTTATCACCAGGAAAAGTTTAAAGAAAGACACGCTTGGTCTTACAAACTTATGTTTGGCTGACTGTAGTTGTATTTATTCTACACAATAAAGTTGGTTCCAGGTCGTTGAAAGGCAGAAAAATAACAGTCCAAATGTCTATAATGATTACCTGTTCTTCCATTGACTCCCCCTAAAGAAAAGATTTAATAATAAAAATGACCTTGTGCAGAAGTACTTAAATAGATGTGATTTAAACACCATCTGAAAAAGAAACCTTTTACTGAGATGTTAAGTGTGAGTAAAATAATCTCAAGTATATAGTCAAGCTTTTAGAGGAGGCAAAGAGGAACCTGTGTCACCATCATAACAAATCAGTAAGTCAAGATTCAGCCACCTTTCAGTTGCTGCTGCTCTGGGAGCAGCACCATAGGAATTCAGGAGAGTATTCCCTTTATACACAGTGTAAACATAAGCAGAATAAATTTAATATAATTGAATGGAAAATAAAAGCAGACTGGGCTCTGGTACAGTTTCATAAAGAAATTACTCTCCCAATAAGAAAAATTAAATACCTGCTCCTGTTGAGTGGCATGTAATAAAATCTGCCTTATATTTAAAAAGATCCCAACTAAATTCTAACAGGCCTTCCCTGTGTGGTTGATGCTGGGATGCAGGAGCAATCCCAATTCAAATGCTTAATTAAATAAAATTTAAAATTTCTTTTTGAGAAAAGAAGAAAAAACATCTCTATCAGTAAGTAATATTTCCAAGTTTTAGTACAGAAATTTTAATTAGTGACCTAAATTTCTGGAAAGACACCTGTCATCAGATAGTGTAACGATATGTTAGGGCAACTTTAATCATTACTGTAATTACTGAATACAGTACTGTTGCCACTAAAAAGTTGTTTAAAAGGCCTGTTTTTTCCTCCTCACTCTTTCTCATTTTTTACCTCCTGAGCTGTTGATTTATTGTATTCTACAGAAGAGATGCTTCCACTTGATATATAAAACATACAAGGTCTTGTCCCTTAATTCAGTGACATCTATCAATAGCCTGGATGGTGGATACACAAAACACAGAGAAATCAATTCTGTAGATTGAAAATACCTGTAATTTTAGGAAACTGGGCAACTGCAGCTGCCAACTGTCTTTACAGAAATATTATCCTGTAAGTCTCAGAGCTAAAAATACAGGTGAATTCTTGTTGAATAAATTACCTGTCACTTCTTTCTCTTCTCCCCAATACTCCTAGAGCAGTAAATTATTTATATTGCAGTCACCTACTGAAATTTGAATATAGGAGAGATTTCACATATAATTCAACCTTGACACTGATAAAGACTGCAAAGAGGTGTCAGAATATTTTGCCCCCAGCCCCGTGTACCCCTGCTTCATGGAATTCACACAGGGAGGACTTCCTTTCTGAAAAAGCAAAGCCCATCAGATATGTTGCCAAGTACCAGCAAAAAGCAGAGTAAAAAGCAGCAGTGACCCCAAGTCCCTTTATGCAATGGGTTGTCTTGGCAGGTATGATTTGAGTTCTTGACTTTTTTTGAGTCAAGATTTGAGTTCTTGCTTTTACCCCCAAGGGACGAGGAGGAATGTGAGGAGCAGGAAGCCTGACGTGCTCCTGCACAATCCAGTCCTTATTTCTTTGCACAACCCAAATCAACTTCCCCCCTAAACCTACAAGCTCCCTCCTGAAACCAAAACATCAACCTTCAACTGCTGATATGCATTCCTGCTGAAATGCCAGTGTGGAAACAAGGAGGAATGATTTCCCCTTTTTATTCCCAAGAATAACAAAAGTATTTGGCCATGGTCAGCTTGTCCTTCTGCATCCATTCGACATAGAGAACCTGGATATTGCTTTTCCCCCCCATAGCAGGATGAAACAGTGAAAGAAGGAAAGCAAAAGGCAAAGAACCAGCCCCAATTTAAAAATTCAAATATTTAAAACCCTCTGAAACCCTGTGCTCCACTTTGAAAGCAGACTTTGAAAGAAACTCCCATGTAAATAACTCACATTATAAATTAAGTTTTCATTTCACTTAAGAATGGAATCTCAGAAAAATTATTTTTACCTCTAAGCATGAAATCCACAGAACAAAAAGCACAAAGGTAAACAGTTGACAACTGTACTTTTTGGACTGACAGCCCAAAGGGTGTGCTGGGTTTTGGTTTTGTTTCAAGCTGTTCTTGGGTTTTAATTTTCAATTTCGAAGCACTTAGGACTTACATGGTTTTTGAAAGATGAACAGAATGTTCATATTTTTCAAATGAAAAGAAAAAAAAAAGCTTAAAATTGAATTTACAGGAAGGAAGTTTAACAGTTTCATGATAGCCAAGCTTTCAAACTAAGTGTAAAAACGATCAAAAGAAGCACCACCCCTTGCTGGTTACACTCTGGTGATGTTAATTTATTTGAGAAACACGACAGACTTGTCCAACTTTTTTTAAAGAAATGCTACATCTGGTTTACATGACCTTGTCACAGTTAATGATCAATGATTTTAAAACAAAGAAACTGCAAAAGGAAGAAACAAATTAACTTTTCAAATTTTATAGTTGAAATATAGGAGATTTTAATTAATGAAAATAGAAAATTATTCCACTGCAGTCAGAAGCCAAATATGTCTGACCTGTGAATTTAAGCTCATTTCTTACTCAATTTAAAGCATTATTACTTTTTGTTCACCAGCAAAGTATAGGATGTCATCCTCAGAAAGCAAAGAG